ATGAATAAGAAAATGAGCATTTACGAGTAAGTGTCAGTGGTGCCCATCGATATCAGTTTCATAGCTCCTTTTACACCCTTGAAGCCTTGTAGTACGTTTCTTTCCATTTTCAGCACTCGATCCGCTTGAGATTTACTTTCTGCCTGCAAATATCACTTGGTTGTCCTGTGTATGTTTTGAACATCAAAATTGGAAGGGCATTCCACCGTAAGAATGAAGGTCGAAGAAGATATCCAGTGGAGAGAGAGGGGACCCTAGTTGTTAAAGTGCGGAGCGACACGCAACTCGCAGCAAAGATGTACCCCCGCAATCTATGTAGTATGACCGTCCCCGCGACGCTGCACGCCCAACGACTGCCTAACTTGCCGCACGTCTCTAGCCCTTCAGAGAGAGTGTTAACGTTGAAGAGGGCAGCACGATGAGAGTCGCATCAATGCGGAAATCAACGGACAAGGAAGGGGTCCCATTTCTCCGGTTCTGGGCCGTTTCTCGTGGTTTCGCTTCTCCTGGCACTACTGACCACCTCTACCTCAATTATAATGGGCTGCCTCCTAATCGTAAACTCCGCCTTTACTTGTTTATGGCGCTGTCGCAAGATACGGGGACTGTCCTTCAGGACTAAGTCAATGAGAGGGGCGAAACTCCGGGGAAAATGAAGATTGCTCGCGCGCCATGGATCTTCCTTCCTCGTTCAATCTCCTTTATAACAAAAAACGAAAGTATTCGAATCGGTTTTGAATGTGCTACCACTGCAGGACCCCGTATCTTGCGATAGCCCTTAGTTTACCTCTATAAGGGATTTCGTCGGTCATCAAGCTTTGATTTTAGTATTACTGAAAAATCATTTACCTTGAGAGCACCCTGAACTCCAGTTTTAATATTTATCACATGGTAAACGTGTCCATACGCTCCTTTCCCCAGCTTGCGTATCACTGCCCACGCATCTCTTACCACCTGCAAAGGAGATTCAGATGAATCAATGAATTAAAAGAGTCCAGTAAAATTTCTAGCGAAAAGCAATCTGGGCCCTATCGCAACATACAGGGGCATCGTGATGGCAGAGCATCTAAAACCGCGTAGAACATGTCTTTTGTTAAAAACGGGACCAAGCCTTAGGCAAGGGACTCCAAGGCGCGTGATCCATTTTCGTTTCCCTCGAGCTCCTGCCTCTTCCCAGGCTTACTCCTAGAGGATGCCCCCGTATATTGCGATAGCGCCGCAATCTGTTTGAGATGCGCCATGCACTCCACTCCTGTCCAGAATAGCGCACACGTTCGGACATGTATCTGGCGTATGAAATAATTTCAGGGTGCTAGCCAATATTCAATCCAGGAATTATTTCTCTTCCAGCCAGGGCAACAATCAGTCGAATTCTGGAGAGTGGGGGCTTGGTTCGCCTGAGCGAGGTCCTAGCGGAGGCTTAATCCTCGGATGGCTGTGATGGCTGCGCCACCATTCACAGTCCCATGCTCACCGACTAGTGTGCTTTACTACGGCTTATGGAGCGTTCAGAGTTGGCGATCGTACGTGCGATTAGGCGATCAGTCTATAATGAAAAATATACGTATAATGAAAAATATACGTATAGATTAGGCGATTAGGCGGGGAGGCATACGTATTGATTGGTTTGCTCCGCCCATAGAGCGTTGTAGGCGAGTAGGCGATTAGGCGATTAGGCGATCGCTCAATGGGCGGAGCAACAAATCAATACGTATCCTTCTCTTATCGCCTACTCGCCTACTCGCCTAATCGACTACTCGCCAATCGCCTAATCGCTCGTACGATCGCCAACTATGAACGCTCCGTCATCTAACCGTGAAGTGGGGAGTATTCCTACGAAATGACGACAGACCGAGGCAACCGATGGCCCAATGAAATATGGCTTTTTATCATCAGAATCGATCTTATTTTGGAAACATTGCCATGGCCATAACGGTTTTGGGCGGTCTGTTAACCTGGTTAAAGAGATTCCAATGCGATATGGTGCGTAAGTTTGAATGCACACTTTCACAGAGGGGAAGCACAAATGATTCTCTTTTGGTGAGCGCCTAAGACGCGCCATGCATTTCACGTCTACTCGGAATTGGAGCGGGGTATTGAATACGGCTGGCTATGCTGCGCTTTGCGGGACTGTTCGATTTCCTAGTAAACTCCTTACTTTCTAGACGGGTCTGAACCGTATTAGGCGAATGAGAAGATGAAAGACTTGATTCGCCTGAGCTCGTTTCATGAGAGAACTTACCCCAAGACCATGCCGCCGCATACGGGACCTTTGCTTTCTCGCTCAGCTCCGATGTGCAGAACGAAGCTTAGAAGTTTCCAATCGGGGTCACTTCATTATATAAACCACAACTTTGGTGTGTCGGTTTGTCGGTGTGTGTGTGCGTGTGTCGTTCTGTCCGTCCGGACCAACCGCTCACAAAACCAGGGAGTACGAAGGGCAACACTTCGTGATGTTGATGTCATGATCATGATAACACCCACAGCGGCTATATAAACACCGATCGAGCACACTCAGTCTCATTCTACATGGTGCTGCCGTGGCAGCCGGATGGGCGGTAGAAGGGAGGGGGCAGGAAAGGGGAGGGCAGGAAGGGGAAGAGGGGAAGGGAGAGAGGGAGAAAGAGGGAGGGAAGGAGGGGAGAGGAGAAAGGGAGGGAGGATATGGTGCTGCCGTGGCAGCCGGAGGAGCAAGAGGGGAGGGTAGAGGAGGGCGGTGTCTATGCTCATCCTATTATATATTATAACACACGTGGGAGGACCACAGCAGAAAACGTTGAAGCCTACGCAGGGAAGCAACGTTCCTCGGCGGTTGACGGGGGACCGACCTGATATAAAAGGATAAAAGGAGTCATGTTAGCGTCTCTGACTATGGGAATGAGATCAATCCATCCGGACAACACTCAATTCAAATCGGGGCATTCAAAACCGCTGGTAGGAGAAGGACTAAGCTCAGGAGGAAGTGGAAGCGCTAGCGAGAGCGAAAATTGCTCACATCTTTCCCCAGAATCCCTTCCTCTGCCTAAGGCTTAGTCCTAAAATCTGTAAGTGGCTCTACAATTTCAACTTTCCCTCCTCCCACGCGATCAGAGCGGCGATGCCCCTGTTAAGTTCAGTAAAATTTCCAAATTTCGGATCTCTTCGTATGTGACCAGCTTACAGTAGTCTTTGTTGCGATGTGCTGCAGTACTGCGCCTCTTTTCTGCCAGGGTGAAACCTGCAAAACAATCACACTCACCGTGCCAGGATCTAACTCTACAACATCCTCCACATGCTTCTTCCTCGTCACTCATTACTATAAAATGAACCCACCGCTCCACTGGCTTCTATTTATATGCCCTCCATATCGTGTTGACGAAGCTTATCATCACTGATCTCTAGAAATCTTCCGCGAAAAACAGAATTAATGTAGAAGGATGACCAGTCGAGAGCTCTATCGCAATAGTATACGCAGGCATACCCCTAAAAGCAAGCATGGGAGCAGGAAAACCGGGGAAAATGAGACTCCGCACTCGATCTGGATGGAGTCTTTCTACCTTCTGATGCTTGAGCTCCAGAAAGGGAGATGTCCGAAGCGGTTCTGAATCGCCGCCACAATGCCCCGTGCTCAGGTGAAAACGGTCGAGGAATTCCTCGACCATGGCTCTGTACTGTGCGAGAGTAGTGCCGAGAGTGAATACGCGCGGAGAGCACAGACGGCTCGCGCATGGCGAGTGTGAATGTCCGCGCGGGAGAGCGTAACTGATCAGGCGAAAATCCTCGACGTGCCGTTGAGGAATCCTCAAGCGATATTCACCCTGCCCATCGTTGCGATAGCACCCGACGAGTTGGCATTGCTTCGGGAAGACCCAGCTTTGCTTCGGCGCTGCAAAAACGGTGTCGTACAGCGGAGTGGAATTGGAAATTCGCTACTCGTGAAATTCACGAAATTCTCTCTCCTATCCTCTATCCTTCATTTCGCCTTTTACATTGACGCGGCGACTCGGGTGATCTCTTGTGTCTCTTTATTTTATACAAAAGAGCGCACCAGTAAGCAAAACCTCAGAATTTACGACGAAAAGTTAAAAGGATAAAAGGATAAAGCATTTGCCGTTGATCAATCCCCTTTTTGGGATGCGGCACGCATTCTACTTCCATTTGTACATTCGTAGTGGCGTTTGAATGCGATGTGGCCTATACAATGACTTGCGGGGGCCAGCCGATGTTCAAGTCAGTGTTTTTTATCCTCCCAGACAAGTCTGGTACCAAAAGGCTTGGTTGGCCCGGGCGACTCACGACCCAGGATTTGATCCCCGGACCGCTCGCGTGGTGAGCGCGCCACTTGTCACTGCAGAACTTCGTGTAGTGGCAAGTGGCACGCTCACCACGCGAGCGGTCCGGGATCAAATCCTGGGTCGTGAGTCGCCCGGGCCAACCAAGCCTTCCATCCCTCCGGGGTCGGTTAATTGGTACCAGACTTGTCTGGGAGGATAAAAAACACTGACTTGAACATCGGCTGGCCCCCGCAAGTCATTGTATAGGCCACATCGCATTCAAATGCCACTACGAATGTACAAATGGAAGTAGAATGCGTGCCGCATCCCAAAAAGGGATTGATCAACGGCAAATGCTTTATCCTTATATTAAAGTAACTAGTGAAAGAACGGAGGTGAGTGGACAAGAAAGAAGGAAAACCATGAGAAACGGCCCAGAACCCGAGAAATGGGACCCCTTCCTTGCCCGTTGATTCGAGCATTGATGCGACTCTCATCGCTGTGCCCTCTTCAACACTACGCTCTCTCTGCTATCTAATCACTCGCCACGTATTGAACTACGGCGAGTGATTAGATAGCCGGTGGGCGTACCCGCCAACCGCGCCAAGAGTGAGCCATGCTAGATCCCCGAGGTCAAATCTTTCGCCACCAGTTTGCGCGTTCACAGGCATCACATACGACCGCCTGTTTTTCAACTACGAAATGTTCCCCTTCTTTGACCTCCTTCTTATCGTGAATTCCTCCTTCAGTATGAATGCAGTTGGAAGTTAGCTGTAAACAAAACGGCCTCCTATCTTCCTCGTTCTTAATAATTGTCCTGTCATTGAAATGAACTGTTGAAACTGTGTTGCTTCTCCCTTTTACTACACAGTTATTCTAAGATAAGGGAGTTCACATCAAGTTTCATTATATTTCAGATGTTTTTATCCATTGCTGCCGTTGCATGGCAACCTTCACGTCCACGTTTCTCTGCATAGCCTTATGCTTTTGTTTTGTATCCCTATTTTTGTGAAAAACGTCTTTGTACTGCCACAGAATCCCCTAGGTGGATCACTTGCAGTGGCAATAATGTCGAGGTGAATTTTGGTCCGAAAAAGCAAGAGCTTTTCTTGAAATGATGATGTTTTCGCTGGCCCTGACAGTAACCTCCTTTACTTTTCCTTTATTTCTACTTTCTGCTTGTTGTTCATAAGTCTTACTTTTTTTTTTATTTTTTTTTTACTTTTTTTGCAATTGCACTTACTTTATTTTTATACCTCACTTTTTTCAGCTAAGTTTACTCCTCAACTGAAGTTCTAATTTTATAGAAAAAATGACCAGATATATGAAGGGTTCACGAAAAGTCTATCCAGCGCAGCAATTTTAACGCATGAAGCATAGCGGGAAAAGGGGTGGCAGATGGAGAGAGGCGGAAAGAGAGAGAGAACAGTGATAGCAGAGAAAGAGGGAGGCGAAGGGGAAGAGGAGAAGGAGGGAGAACATGGCCGCAGGAGAGCTACGGGCCTTAAGAGAGGGGGGAGGAGAGAGTGAGGGAGAACAACCGCTCTTAAGTGTGAGGTTTATCTTCATGTTAACGTATTATTCTAATGTGATGTCGTGATTGTGATTACACCCACAACGGCTAGATAGACACGGATCGAGCACACTCAGCCTCATATTACAATGGTGCTGCTGTGGCAGCCGGAAGGGGGGGGGGGGGGGAGAATGAGGAGGCAGGTGAGGAGGGGAGGGTAAGAGAGGGTGTATGAGAGAGAGCGGAGCAGACAAGAGGGAGGGAAGGTTCAGGGTATGAAGAACATTTATAGCTCGCAGAAATTGAGCTATAAATGTACTCTCGGTCATTCCACATGGTATTGCAGTGGTAGCTGGAGGGCCAGTGGAGGGAGACTGGAGGATGGGGAGAGTAGGCGGAAAATACATCGTCACGACTTGGTAATCACGACTCCTCTACTATGTGAACTACTTTTTGCTGCATGCGAGTCACCTCCAAGAGGCTGGTGTCACGGTGGGAAGAACCAGCAGCGGAAGACGTAAAGTTCACGCAGGAAAGGAAGGTCCCCGCGGTTCAGGGGTACCAATCCGGTGTCAGATAAATAAGGTAAAAGCAAGCCCTCCTGTATGAAAGCTCTCCCTCATGTGGCGCACGCGGTACGCTATGTGTCAATCAAAATTTTGAAGAACTCTATATAACAATAGAGCAACGAAAAACCGCTTCCAATTTTTCAGTAGCCGTGTAGAATGGTCGTAGTAGCTGTGTTGTCGGTGTAGTATTCGCTTTCTTATTCTACGTTATCGATTTGCGCTGTAAAACGTTATGCCATACCCTCAAAAAGCAACACCCACCATCAAACGTGGAGCCCTGCACTTTTCGGGGGGGAAAAGAAAAAAATAAAGTATGGGGGGAAGTAATGAAGAAAAAACCCCCAAAAAAAGAATCGTCAAAACGCCCTGATCTAATCCAATGGCTTGCTCATTTTTCAATTGGGTTGTGCTAAGGGAATACTGAGCTTGGAGAATAGAGGATATGCGAAAGAGAACAAGGATGACAGAGCGTAAAGATCCTTATTCACTAAGAAAAGTGAAAGCGCCTCGATGCCTGTCAATCAGAGCACTACCGCCAGCTTGCCGCGCACTTTTATGAGCCGCTAGAACGAGTCTTCAGAGTACATCTTTAGCAAGCGAATCCCTCGTGGCCCGCCAACGTGGGGAAGGCAGGGTCAGTCCTATCGTTGCTACTTTTCGAAAAGTTTTTACGACCCCCCTCCTTCAGGAAAAGTTTCCTACGACCCCCCTTTTTCCGACCAATTTTTACCCCAAAAAATTACCGTCGAGCGGGGGGGGGGGGGGGGGGGGGAGGGGGGGGGGTATATACTTCCCTTAAAACCGCAAAAATTCCCTACATTTCCTTGCTAATTTTCCCTATATTTTACCCATATTTCAACTGCTCCATTTTCTAGGGGGGGAGGCGATCGGCAAAAGGAGAAGAACGCTGAAAACGGTGAAAAACAAA